AGGAATGGGCTGAAGTTGGACTTTGTTTTATGTTTAATAACATTTCAGTGAAGTTGATCAAATTACATGACATCAATATCACTAAATGTCGCAAAAATGAATGAGTCTTTAATCTGACCTGAACATAACTGGATGGCACTTTTCCGCCTTTGCCAATTCTGGGGGTCTTATTTCCGGGTGGCTTTTTTCCTAAAACCGTCTAGACAGGGGTGGAAGGAGAGACAAGCCAGACAGTGAAGAGTCAATTTATCTTCTCCAGCATAAAAAAGAACCACTTTATTCAGATATGACTTTTCTCTCCAATGACCTGCCAATGGAATCGAAGGAATGCTAATATGCTCTGCGGCATAAATCAACGGTACGCACTCTCTCAATTGCGTCAACCACAATTTCTCTCAAGAATGTTTCTGCGATATTGTGCCAGAGACACACCTTGAGCAGCAACTCGTTTTCGATCTACAATGGAAGTTAACAGAGAACCCAGTTGTCTCTTGACCTCAGCTTTGAATTGAGAGAACGTGAATTCAATGGGGTTCAAATAGGGACTGTATGGTGGAAGGAATTTGATGACATGGGATGGGTATCGGGGAATTAACCTTCGGTGAGCCATACAGCTGTCTATGACGACGACTGCTTCGTTCTTTGGCCCTATCATGGCACTCATTTAATCGAGAAAGTGTCCAAAGATTACTCAAGTGAGATCTCTCAGGCCACGAGTGGGAGAAATCGCCGAAAAATGGTCAACGAAGCGAGTCAATTCTGAATAAAGTCGTTCGTTCTTTCCATGCGGTGGAAGGAGGACATTGGGCTCACTCTCTGGTTTCTTCTCACTCCCTCCCCTGTCTGAACAAGAATTCCTTTGGAGAGATTGCCCCTGCTCATCCCATCCGTAGAGGAGGCTTTTCCTTCCTTATAGATGGGCTCAGAATCAAGTTAGTTTGGTATACTTTGTTCTCCATATCGCTCGGTAGCCGTCATGACTGCAAGTCAGTCTCGGCTAGTGTCACGGGTTCGGCTCTTTCTCAAAAATGTTATTTGTCGTGATGTGACTTGGTTCCTTTGACGTTAGGCTAAGCCTATCTCAGTGTCTGTGAACTTTCGACTATTCAACTCAGAATAATCTAGTGTAAAAGTGCATTCAGAATTCTGAGAATTATGATCAGACCGACAAGTCGTGAGCTTAGAAATAAATGTTGCCGACTATTTCACGACGTGATTCTCTTATGTAAGTCATGCTTTTATTAGATCACAACACCCATATGGGTGTTGTGATTAACATATTTTAATCATAGTCTCAGTGTTAATGTTACACCTATCATATGATGTGACAAGTACATCAGTATTCTTGAAATAAGAGGTAAGTCTGGGGTAAGGGATATTCTGTAGGTAACAAAAGGTAAATGACGAGTAAAAGCGGTAAATTGGGGGTAGAGGTGAAATACTGAGGTAAAACTGCGGTAAATATAGGTAAAAAAGCGGTAAAACATAAGTAAAAGAGCGGTAAATGAGAGGGGAACGGTAAAATTTGGACGGCGAAACTGAGGTAAAATATCGGGAAAATTCCCCGTTTTTTTGGTTTTAGGAAAAAAGCCACCCGGAAATAAGACCCCCAGATTAGGCAAAGGCAGAAAAGTGCCATCCAGTTATGTTCAGGTCAGATTAAAGACTCATTCATTTTTGCGACATTTAGTGATGTTGATGTCATGTAATTTGATCAACTTCACTGAAATGTTATTAAACATAAAACAAAGTCCAACTTCAGAAAATATATATAAATGAGAAATTATTAAGCAATGACCTGGGTGGCTTTTTCGCATTTTCATCTCGTCTGGCTTTTTTCCGCTTTTGTCAATTCTGGGGGTCTTTTTTCCGGGTGGCTTTTTTCCGAACCCCGTTTTTTTTTTTTTTACCTCAGTTTCACCGTACGAATTTTACCTCAGGTAAAAAATTTTTGTAAGGGCAGCAGCCCAAGAAGTATTGCTGCTTGTGACTTGTATATTCGTGTATGATTTGGCCTATTGGCGTAGTTTTTTTTTGGGGAACGGAAGCAATAGGTTCAAATGAAATTAAATTGAGTTAATTGCCCTTAATACAGGGCTGAATGATCCATATCTCTCTGAGAGGCTCTTCTGACATCTACACCTATTGATGTTCATCAGAACTTGACACTAACTCGGTCGTGTCAGGCAATTATGAAATAATTGTTTTTCAGTAGCACATTCCCATGAGACATGCAAGAACTGAAAAATGTCACTCAATATACATGGTTACGGTCTAATCCTCCGGCGTTCATGTAATGAAAGTTCTTTCGAGAGTATGTGATAAAGCCTTAGGAGAAGGAAATCCGTCCCTTGATCCCCTTTCCTGGATCTCGTGACGAAGAAGGAAGTGTTAAGAGTTATAATGAAAATGAAAATAAAAATGAGCCTTTCTTAGCCTTCATTCGGTCCGCCATGGGACCGTTTAACGCAGTTTCTTGCGTGATAAGCGTGCGATTTTGCGGAGCATGCAACAAGCATGTTTGCACGCGTCCACATGCGCAAGGGAACACGCTCGTGCATGCATCCCAAAATGCATTCGCACGTAAAAAGGAACCGCAAGCCTTCTTTTTTGGAATTGAGTCTCGTCTAATTCCGAACACCGATAATCAGTTTTTTTTTTTTCCCCTTCGTTCACACGTTTCCCCTTAGCACGTTCGTGTGGACATGTTCGGACTCGTGTGCGTTCTTTTCAAAGCAAATCCATGCAAACGCATGCATTCATCGATGCGAACGCGTGATGCTCAAGGAACGCCAAGTGTGAAACGCCCTTAACTCTAGGCCAATTTGGTCTGGGAACCCGGACTTCCTCTTGAATTGAGGAGTTCTCTAGAAAAAGGGCGTATCTGCAAAAGATACAATTCGAGATAAACGATATAAACATCCCATGCTATTCTGAAGCTGGTTAAAGCCTAATTATTAGTAAAATGGTATCTTTGACCTTTTCCCAGTTGAACTTGGGGTTTTAATGAATTTCTTTATCTCACATTGCTGGAATGCAGGCAAAAAGTGTTTATGTATTGAATACTTACGCCCTTTTTCCATATCCGCCCTGCTGAAACTTTTTCCTATGAGTCTTTCACCACTTCTTTCTAGTTAAAAGTAATAATTAATCAATAAATGCATCAACAGATTTCAAATAAGCTCTTCCTTGAAAAATAGCAATGAAAATGTGAATAGTCAGGACACGTTTCATTCACAAATTACTCAGTAGTGATCCATTAATAATGTATTGATCATCTGAATCTTTAACTATTTCATGGATATCTCCAACTTCTCACATCCTTCCAGAGGCTTGAATGACTCCACCTCTTTCTTTCCCTGTCTTCATGTCTGGTTTCTTCCTTTCAGTTTTCACTTTCAGTTTAAAAAGACTAAATAATTGTACCAAAATCGTTCAGCATGCAGGTGATAATGGAATATTCATGGAGACAGCCATGTTGAAATTGCCAGGCAGTTGGCCTGCTATTTAGTGAGAGCATAGGAAAATCTGCTTCTCCTTTGCTGAATACTCATCTTAACTACTAGCTGACCGCCCTATCCTACGACTAGTCACCTAAAGCAGCACATGGACACGGACACGGAAAAAGGGAGTATGGGCACATACGCCCCTTTTCCAGAGAACTCCTCAATTGTGGGTTCCCTCTGCTCAAAATTATTATTCCGTTCAAATTCTTTCCCGCGAGATGAGGAGTAATACCTTAACCCTTTCTTGGCTGAATTAAAAAGACGAATAACTATGAAAATTCTTCAAAAATTCTCTTCACAACCTTGTTTTTGATCCAATACGCCTGAAAAACAGTTTGCTTGAACAAATGATGTATCCGCTAAAAGCCCTCGTCAAAAGCTTTCAATCGGTGCAATTTAAAACCAGTTTTTGAAATATAGTAACACAAGAGCAGTCTCAAAAGATATTATCCTTATAATGATCATACGCCATGAAAGGGTTAAGTCGATATGTTGATCGATGATTCTTCCCGATGTCATAGCGACATCGTGACTAGCGTTGGGTTTCCCTATGATCTGGATCAGTGAGTTCCTTTAAAATCTGTAAAAGCTTTCCAAACAGGGGACTAGAGGTAAAACTTGGTAAAAGCTTCATCTTGAGCGTAACGAATTAATTTAATCATTTTTTGGTTGTCTAGAGTCCGACCGGCTTTTGTTTGAGTTCACTTATCAAGGATCTTGTTTTCTTCAATCAGTGTTAAGCAGAGTTACTTACCTATCGACCCTAGTATTTTCACATTTTCAATTAAATTAAGTTTCCATCAGCGGTTTCTGTTATGTTCATTTGGATTTAAGGTATAAACTAAAGCCAAAATTCAAGAAATTCTACCTAGCCCCTGTCAATCAAACTCAGCGTAGTGATACTCTTTGGCCCTCGAGTTGGCCTAATCTTGCTCACCTTAGGGAGTAATTGAACATGTCCGGGGCTGGGGTCTGGGATTGTTGAATGTTGTTTTTTATTGTTATTTTTTTCCTGGTTTCCGAGGATAATTGATGTTTAGGTCGTTCAAGTTATATCGAAAGATTGATAACGGTCAGCTGCGATCCACGCTCGTGACAGATGGAAAATTAAGGATATCAAAAGTTTACATTCAAATTGACAATATATGGGAACATGGTACCTTTTCGTAACTGGACTATTCTTCCGATAAGGTCCCTATGTGAAGCTGCTGTTGCTGTCGAAGACCGGTCGAGTGGTGAGTAAGAGGAAGACAACGTGTCATTGTGGAGGGGACGAGATCGTGTTCGCTGAGACTCTCACGATGGACGCAAAACCGGAAGAGGTGGAGACGTACACATTGCTTCTGGTGCTCGCTCATCAGGATTCATCCGCTTCGACAGAGAAACCGACCCGCATCCCGATTGGGAAGGCGGCCGTGGGGAGGAACGTGCGAAACACCGAGGCTGCACTCTTCTGGCTCTCCGTCCTCAAAAATCCGCGCAAGAGCCACCCTATGAAAATCGCTCTCTTTTGAAAGGGAAATGGCAGGGCCACTGTTTCTGTCCACATTGTTTTTCATGTTTCGGCGGTGGTGCGGATTTTGGTTCTCTCGCTTTTTCTTGTGGTTTGATCGGACTCTGGTAAGTCTCCGTGCTTCGTGGGATTGAATAAAATATATGCACAATGTGTTTCAAGTTCCCAAATTGGCGGTCTTCTGTTCAAAGACTTACCTTTTCTGGACATATTCAACTCTTAAAGCAGGGGTTCTTAACCTTTTTCCACCTACGGACCCCCCCAGATCCTAAAGTATTACCCATGGACCCCCACCCCTGGTTATCAGAAACTTTGGGACACCTGGATTTGTGATTATATCAATAAATGATGTTTTCGGGAAGCTACCTTCAATTATATATTTAATTTTCCATGTACCCTCCACGGACTCCCTGGACCTACCCCATCGACCCCAGGTTAAGAACCCCTCTCTTAAAGCAAGGCGAAAAATGAAAAGGAACATTCGAGACGCTCAGGCCTTCGGCATGGAAGTGTGAAAAGCTCAACAACTGGGAGCTCTGGAAACGCTAGAATATCAACAAATGGTCATTAAAATACCTGCATTTTATTTTCACAGTAAGAGATGCTCATCATTTCTCCTTGAAGCTAACAAGGTTCAATATTCAAGGTTCGAATATTCACCGAAACTCCCTCCTGCATTTTCAATTTTCATTCTCATGAGAATCTAAGCGAGAATTATTATGACCGTCACAGGAAGTTGATATTCTGGAATTCCCAGCCAGGAAGCTCTTAGAGACATCAGCTCTGAGAGGCTCCTAATTGATTTCAGGGTGTAATATAGAAGTCCGAAAAAAGGTTTTTCTTCAGCAATTTTACTGCCACGTTCAGGCAATTCACCAGCGACTTCCCAGTGGTCCATTCTTATCAACCTCATTCGGTGTTCCGATCATTCGTGTTTAACTAAGAAACGGGGCCAATGGACACTTTTACTGTTCCAAACTTTTCCTGGTTATCAGAATAGGTTAAGCGATGTCCCGTACTCTATGAATACAATATTCATAGAGTACGGGATCCCAACTGGATGCAGGTAGAGTCTGGGCAAATCGAAGGGATATATTATAAGCTTCAATTTATCTACTGTCTGCTATCAAATTATCCACTAATTTATTTCACTATGCAGTGTTCAGTCTGCAACGCTTGACCTCACGCACTGTATGGGTCGATCCCATGTACATATTTATTTTGCCAGTTGAGATCTCCCTAATGGCACCCATAAAGTCCGTGGACACGATTGGACACTTCTTTCTCCCATTGTGCATTTCTTCGCAAAAAATTGGGATAATGGTTAGATGGTATTCTTACTTCCCAGGAAACTAGAAGGGTATGGAGACCTGTTACGCAGAATGTATATGCATTGATCAGATTATTGTCTTACTTTCGGTGTGTCCGAACTTAAGTTAGGTCAAGAAATGTTTGAGAAACTTGAGTTCGGGCATACATTCATGTGTGTCATATCAGCATAAATATGATGTCCTATTGAGATAAAGAACGTTCAGAGTTGACAAAAGCTCAGTTGAGTCATAATTTTCAGAGAACTTGTATTTCGGAGCTCTTTCCGAACTTTCATAACGGGACATGTAACTTCGGACACCGTCGAGGACATACACTTAAATACAGCTTCATGTATCCAAAAGCAGTGCATTCATGGTAGGAGGGTGGAATGCAAGGGATTATCGATCCGAGGCTGTTGAAAAGACCACCAGGTCTTAAATTCGTGCGTGTGAGATGTCCTTCCGGAAGGCCAACATTGCTTACGATGAACGCGTCAGCTAGATAAATTTTCTTCTAGGAGTTGTAACTCCAAATTCGGAGCAGGGATGTGTCCCTGAAGTTGGATGATTTTTTAATTAGTCATGCAGAGAAATACTTGTGTACTGAATGTAAAAAACTGTGTCTGCCCCAGCGACTGGAGAGCAACCTACGTACCAAATTCCAGGTTTCTATATCCGCCACCGCCCGATTCAATGTAGCAAAACATATTCAAAATATAGCTCCCCCCCAAAATGTACCCCCAGAATGAATCTCAAAAGCAAGACTTCCCCTTATTACAGCATACCAGCAGGTATATATTGATATTATGTAAGGTTTCAGCCTTTTGTCTCCATGGTTCCCAGGAACGGAATACTTTTTTTTTTTGGAAAGGTCCAATAAAAAAATATGTCCCTGGGAACAAATCCAAAAATAGCACTTTTCTCCCCTGAAAACTGCATCTTATTAGGTACCGATGCATCAAGTTTCAGCTTCTATGTCTCTCCGTTTTGTTGGGGTAAAAAAAGTATGGGATACGTCTCTCCCATAACAAATATACCTGAAATCCTCACCATCATGGTCATTCGTGTACCAAGGTCGAACTTCCAGTCTCGTCTAGAACATGGTTAGAATTAAAGTCAGTCGCTCACTCACTCAATTACGATCGTCCTATGTTAGAAAATATAAAAAAGATCCAATGCTTTGAGAGCGGATCATCATTCATTTACAACAAAATGAAGTGTTTCAAGCATCCTTGAGGCTTTAAAACGGGGGTGTCCGAACTAAGGTGAAGGTGTCCTAACTTAATTTTTTCCGCGTCAAGTTCGGGCATTTACATTGTAGGCGATATCGGTAGTCATAAGGCTAGGAATGAGAACATCTTTGTTGCACTCATACCACCTCGTGTCGTGCTCCCAGGAACAAAAAAAAAAGAAGTTTCTAGCTTGTACTGTTGAGATAGGACGAGCTAATTATAAAGCTCAGCCAGCTTAACTGTCCTAACATTTGTGGTTTTACCCTATTTGACATTTGCCTAAATCCTACGAGAGACCCAAGCCATTAAAATGCTCATAGGCGACTCCTCCAGAGGCAACATGCGATCTACAGGGAGAATCAAAGTCCTGTCACCTTCTGAAAGCTAATGAATTTTAAGCGCGTCCACCCTTGCAAAGGTGCTTGGACGCCGTGTCCAATTGATTCCAATGAAAGAAATTTGAGGCAAATGACGAAGCACCGACAGACTACCGATGGGCTCTCTTCCAGTCAGGTTCTGGCCATTATAATAATTCTGGTGGTCGATGGATCGGGCGTCGAGGACCGATCAAATGGTCTCTTCGAAACCCCGATTTCACTCTGCCTCCTTTCTTTTCATCATAGGGATATCTCAAGAATCTTGTTTATGCTGAGAAGTCGCACAATATTGAAAACTTGAAAACAGTGATCAACAATAAGTTGAATCAAACCTCGAGGGACATGATTGCGTTCATTAGGTTACGTGCTCATAATCTTATTGAACTTAACGGGCGGCAACCAGCAGATTGATTTTTTTAAACATTAATTTCGAAAGTCTTTCTTGTTTGAAATAAAATTAACCCTCCCAGGCCCGTGAGGGATAGCTTTGATACCCCAGTCAAATTTTTCTGCAATATCTGAGCGAGGTTTTTTCCTTCGTGCTTCATCTCCTGTAAGTTCATCAAAAATATAGCAACGTTTAGAATTAGTCAGAATCAAGATAGGAAATACGTAGCAGCAGTGTGGAACCTTTCGCTTCCCTTGTTTCTGAAATAAACTGGGGTAGTTCGGATACCCTGCACGAAAGCCTGGCCATTCGGCTCCGAAAGGTGCTGAATGGCCTGGGAGGGTTAAGAGAATCTCAGAAATTTCTTGGCTTTCGAATGAATTACACCAGACTGTAATCTGATGACTCGATCATGAATTATCAAAGACCAAAAGGTGGGCACAACTTTCAACTCACCCTGTATAATGGCCTATGGGACAAAAGAATCTCAGGCTGTTATGCCATCGGCCACAATGCAGCACCTCTGATCCAGAGGTGCATTATTATGCACCTCATCCCAACAACAGGAGGAACTGAACATGAAAGAAAAATATGCTACCACATAACCAATCTGTCATGCAAAAGAAAGCTTCGGGACGTCCTAGAGCAGGGGTGAGCAACCTTTATCAGCAGTGAGCCCCATGGAAATGTCTGACTTCTCATGCCGGCCATAGAATGCAAAAGAATAGGCTCCCCTCTTTTGCCCTCAGGGCATATGAGGGCATAAGGTCGCGCTGTTCGGCCGATGAAGGGTCAAGGGGATTGGAGAGGGGGAGGGGGGTAAAATCTTGCGCATGTGATGACGGCAGCGAAACGTTCAACTATAAAAGCGGGCGCTTTGCCCTTCACGATCTTATTACATCGCTGCTTGAGGCCAAGACAGGTCGCACACGCTTTCTCTTGTTTCTCGCAGCCGTAATACATCTACTCTCGTTCGTCAGAGCCACCTAGGCAGCATCGTACATAAATTGCCGACCTGTTTGTTGATTTCCATGATATTCTTAGGTACCTTTATTTCATTCGCTCTCTTAGTAGCAGTTGTTTATGAAGACAATGGCAAGGATTGCATTATCCATCCTCAAAGAATATTTATAGGACTCGACAGGCACGAAATATTTCCAGACAGAGGAAATGAATGGCTTCAATCGCTGGGAATAAAATCTATCTCCAGATATGCTTTAGTGTGCTCGCATCCCTTCTCCTTAGATTCCTATCGTGATCGAAACGCTATCAGGCGCTTGAAAAAATATGCCGTTCCAAAAGAGAATCTGGCCGAAGATCCAACGCAACCTCCCACGTTCACATTCGGCCTCTAACGTAGTTTCTTTTTTTTTTTTTTTTTTAACCATTTGGCGGTCTGACGATTCATTTCAACCAATGGACTAGCAGGTCTCCTCATCTCTTGAGAATGGATACAATGACATAAAAGCATCGTACCGGATAACCATGAATGCTCATTGCTTAGGGGTAGAAACCCTTCGTCAGAAGCTGAAGAGAGCACAGGGGATAATGAAGCTGAGATAAATTATTTTCTCTCAGGTGATACAAAAAAAGAACGGTCGTCGAAGATCCCCAAGGAAAGGTGTCTGTTTCAAAAACTCGTTCATGAAGGAGTATTCACAAATACTCAGTTGTGAAATAAGTCATCAATTACAAGTACCCGCATATCCATCCATTGACTATTGGTATCTTCGTACCTACCAGAACTCTTCTAGACTGAGATACCTGAACAGGGGAAATGCAGTGAGGATGAACCGGGATCGTTAGGAATTGAAATGAAAACATTGGTGACGGAAAAATAATTTTCACGACAGCTCCGATCTAATGTGAGATGGCCGGACATCGAATTCACAAAACCCATCACAAAAAGAAAGATTTTTGGTGTAGAGGACATTTTCGGATTTCGCGATGTCATGGTCTTGCCCGGTTTCCCATGCCAAAGGCGCATTTCGCTACCCTGTCTACTTACACAGCATACCCGAAAGTGCGAGGCGTTCCACCCCCAAAACGCGTTTCTGCGCAGATCTAAGAGGGATCTCCGACCCCCCTTGCCCTTATCACTTACCCAAAC